CGCATCACCAAACTGTCAACTGAGCGCTTCTAATAAAAAGATTAAATTGGGAGATTTGACGCCAAAGCCTGGTTACATTTACCAAGGTAGCAAGGTATGATGAGCAATAAAAGATTTGGTTTTATGCTATACTTTTTTTCTAAACTGCTTCTTTACATGAGATACAGAATTTGCATGTTAAGTAGACAATACAACGTCGTCATTTTTTATACTTTTCATTGAAACTGCTTCTGTACATGAGATATAGGAATTTGTTGCGTAGAAAATACGACGTCGCAACAGCTTAATAAGAAATTCACGATAATCTACATTATAAATGCTTAACCTTAAAAAGTAAACTAAGAAAATTACAAAAAGAAGTCGAATTTTACTTGTAATTTTGTTACTTTTTTAGAATGACTGCTTTGGAAATCCATGTAATTCATCAAACCATACATGTCAGTCAGGGTTTGGACCTCGTGGGTTTCGCTGTATTTGCGCAAACTGCTTGACAGGAAGCTACTGCGATAAATGTAAGACTCTTCAACTCTACTAGATCTTTTGTAAAAATGTATTGTAAGTGAATAGTGGCTATAACTGATCTACAATATTTTGCAGATACTTCAGACACCGTGCTCAATTTTCCAACCCAGTCTACTGACCAGGATACTGTAAAGTACGTTGAGTTTCCAGACTTGGTCAATTTCACTATTAGCCTATGGCTGCAAATGAACTTGTTTTCAGGAACACGCACAGCCTTTTCCTTTGAAGGTAAAGTCGATGGAGGTAATGTTGATGAAATAGCTTTGATATTCTATAGAGATTCGATCAGGATTGACTTTCAAGGCGACGGATTAAGGTAAGCATTGAATCTACTGACAATACAAGATTTACTGATTTGAACGTTTAGTCCATTTTGGCGTTCTTGAATTCGGTATTCATGGCAAATTTATGAACTTTATTTATGCTATGAAATGAGCGAATGATGTTGCTTTTTTGTTGGTGATAGTTAATAGTTTTGATTTTATGATGGAATGAGTTAATGAACGACAGCTTGGGAGTGCTGAGTGACCTGGGAGACATGAAAAGCGAGTAAGAGAGGAAAAGAGAGATGATGAAAGGTTTGGTCATGCTTACACGTATGTTTTGATTTCCAACTACTGCTAGTCAAAGATACGATAATCAGAACAAGATATTTGACGGAAACTGGCACCACATTGCCCTTACGTGGTCGCTGTCTTTTAAAGCAATCAATATTTACATCGATGGAAACAGCATTAAAGAGAAAAAAGATAACACCCACAAACAATTGAAGAGAAATCTGAGATTCACCTTGGGACAGGAGCAAGATAGCTACGATAATGGAAATTACGAAAATATGCAAAGTTTTGTAGGAAACATAACGGCTTTCAATATGTGGGACAGAGTTTTTGCAGACAATGAAATATCCTTGCTTGCCAAAGAATGCCCTTCTTCACACAGACAAGGCAACTTGCTGAATTGGCCTGACATTGTTCAAGACAAGAATGACGCTCTCAAGTATTTCTGTGGATTGTCATGTGAAGATTTCGGTCTTGTTAACCAGGATCATCGTAACCAGGAAAAGACTACGCATGCGTGTTTTGATAACCAATGAACGAAAAAATAGCCGTAATCATGTCGCGCGAGAGAAGGTCTGTGGAAAAGAAAAAGACAAAACTATTCAAATGAGCCGAATGTAAAGAGATTTGAAGCAAATAATTGAATATGCACAAGCACATGATTTATAGCAACTTGAACATACTAAACTTGCCAAACCGTTGTAAAAAGATAAATTTACAGCTGTAACACCGTAAAAAAGTATATGAAACAACTTACTGACGTTTCGGACGTTAATCCTTCGTCGGAAGAGATGAAACTAGGATGAAACGTCAGTGAGTTGTTTCTCCTACTTTTTACGGTGTTAAATTTATCTTTATAAAGATTCCTCGCGACATGAATGCACACCGCACGCGTAGATCATGGAGTTCAACCTACCTACAATGCTGACTTTGTGTATACATCTATATTTATCTTTAAGTAAAGCTGCAAAAGCTGTATTTATGTAGCTAGATTCTCATATATTAATAATTTTGCAATCAGTCTTTAATTTCTAGTTGCTTTTTGCTGTCTAATGTAATCATTTACAGGAC